GTGGATGTACTGGAGCGATTGAGCAATACTCCGCATTTGGATAGCATACTAAAAGAAGAATTGCCCACATTGGCAACTATAGCACGACACAGAGACATCGTTGTACCCATGCGTCACATGCTCCACCGAATCCGGGTTCGTAACGCCGAACCCATAAGGCATATTTATTGTGATTTTGATATCCGCATAACAATCCTATAGCACGCCAACCGTCATCTTCGAGCCGTGTTATACGTATGCCAGATTCAACGCCACAAACACCATAATCGCCAATGACAGTGCAGAAACGAGAAACAAATAGACGCGATAAACAGATGACGTGACGGGGATACGGAAAAGACAGTAGCTACATATGAAGAAACAAAATATGAAATGCGTAGCCCTACGCGATGAGCCCATTCTCGTGGACACCACTGAGCGAAAATGACCACATCCTGCACTCTGCCATGAAGAGTGTCAAAACGAAATCGTCTGGTTCCCACCCAACGATATTGATGTCGAGCGCGAAACGAACGGGTTGAGACAAGCATTGCAGCACTGAGTGTATATGCGTTCGGATGCATGTATCAGCAAGCTGCATGCGTGCTTTGGTGGCATACGTCGTGGTAAGAATTGAAGGTCGTGCGGGGTCTGGTCAACTTTGTTCTCGCGGGGCCGGTCGTGTTCACATTGAGAGTTGGCCGATTGTGTCGAGATTCGCATAGGTACGTTACGGCCGAATCATTAGGGGACAAGAAGAGCAGAAACCCGTTTTAGTAGAGCAAATACAATCTCGAAGCAAATAGGACTCCGGACATACCGCTTTCCCTTCTTCTTCTTTTTTTTTGGTTTTAGTAGAAGACTTTGATGTTATTTTCATCGTCATCCTCTTCAGCCAGCATCCACAGTTTATCGACCTTCTTAGCCGTCTTAGATCTTTCTTCAAACCCTTCACCTAGCTTCATGACGCAGCTGAAAACGAGACTCCAACCTTCGATTCCGACTGTGTAGAACGCTTCCTCAACGACAGCCTCGCGACTACCACACTTGACAAGCTTGTAGATCTGGCGGCCGTTGAAGTGGGAAGCATGGATGTACGGGTCCCTAGCTTGATAAGTGCCGAAAACTAGGCAGTAGACGAGCGGGGTGTTCTTGAGGGCTTCGGACTTTGCAATAGTGCATTCAAGACATGACTCAGCATAGCCTTCATTGATGTCATGTGCGGCAACACATTCTAAGATACGGTCGTCTATCGGTGTCGTTGTGGGCTTGGAGGCCCATACCTTGGGCGTTTCTATACTCACTGGTCGTGCGTCAAGTAGGGGAGTTAATTCTTGGGGCGCCCCGGGCGTTCCGACACTCCTGAGATATGCGTTGGTAGGCTTCTCGTACCAGACCCCAGAAGTGCCGTGTCTCAGAAGCCACTCAAACTCCTTGTAATCTGCCATGCTGGCTGCATGCTTCGACACCGAGGCATTGCGGAAATGGGGCGTGATACGAATCATTAAGTTTGCAGAGTCGGAGGGAGGACAGTCGGAGTATTGTACTTGGATGAACTGGCATGGTGTGTCGACTTCTGGGAAGCTGAACGACGGCTCAAGTGGCGGAGGCGGTGGCTTCCAAGAATCAGCTTCAAATACTCCAAGAAAACGTGTGACTTACTGGCGGTGGGACCGAAGCGGGAGGAGCAGGATGGGCAGAAAGACTGAGAGGAGCGGGAAAAGCCATGGCGGGTCTAGTGGAGGGCGGCGGCAGCTGCTACTGTCAGCTTATATCTTTAGTAGATAGAGAGTGATTCTCAACATACAGATGAGTGAGGTGGCTGCTGCAGATGTCAGGACTCTTCTCCATGTCACGTCGGAGACTACTTACGGAAGACGATGAATAAGGGCGACTGTTCTCTGTACCTGCAAGACTAGGTTCTCCATGAGGCAGCAGTCGAGATGTAGCAGACAATTCTTTGTCGGTGAACGAGCCAACTGCCTTGGTCTGTTGTACTGTAGGTTCATCTGATCGAGACTCTCCGCACTGTGCCTCGGGTAGATGCTTGTTATTATCGTTGATGCCTTGCGAATCCGGGATTGCGGCAAATTCTTTGGGAGAATGAGCTACTGACGACGGTTTGCAGATAGCAGATGACGGAGAGTGGTTTCCGTTACTCTGGGTCATGTCTTCGGATCCGCGTGGCTGATTAAGAGGCCCGCAAGGCGATATGCTGGAGGTAGAGAGTACCTCTTTGGAGATCATGACGTACTCGCCCTGCATACCTGCGTTTCGTAGGGCGACTAAGTATAGTGCTTTGGGGACAGGTCCTACCGGAAGGTTGTACTCCTAGTCGACCACGATGTCCAATTCTAGCTTTGCACTGATGAAAGCTCTTCGTGAAGGCTTCGACTCTCGAGACCCGGATCCTTGTCTGAATTGCCAGTCTCGGGAGTGACGCCAGTGTTAGGTGTCGCGATAGCGAGTAAGTGAAACGAGGAGGTCTGACTGCAGAAGGGCTGATTACTCCTGCCTTTGTCGTATGTTTTGCGTATAAGGTAAGAGGCGGCTCATCGATAAGCGCTCAACAGAGTTTCGTGTTAGCGATATGGTGCTGTAAATGAGTTGGTTCTAGCTTGCACTCTACTATAATGCGCATGCGGTGGCCAGTGGAATCGTGTCTTGCGGGTGTGAGTGGGTGGACAGCAAAGAAGTATCAACGTTCTGACGAATGGCCTTTATGCTAAATTGGGGTGTGCCCTTCATCAGCCCACTCCCGCTCAAGTGAAGCGAGAAGGCAAAAGGCAAAACCAGATCTTGCCTTTCGCCTTCCTGCACAACGACCTGCCGCGCAGTAGCGACCTGCATGTAGTCGTAAAGGCATGCAAGCCAGAGCACCTGGCCCAATCATCGTCCATTGGTTTGATAAGCTTAGCTCAAGTACCGAGCATGACACATCAGGCCGAGACTGCCAACGTGGCCCCTCAATTGGTTGTGTGCCGCACCGCTGGTGGCGTTCCTGTTGAGCTGGATTTACACTCACCGCTTTTCATGGTCCATGCTCCAAGTCTTCTCAGACGCACAGGTGGTGCTAGACATTGGCACTAGCCTTCCTGCCTAGAGTCAGTCTTGTCCCTGCCGTCACTTCCCGGCGTGTTCTAGGCCGCGACTGGAGTGCGAGGCTATCGGGCGTGAGCGCTGTCATCCGTTGCCCTCCGATCTACACACTCAGAATACTGCAACTGGAGCACACTACTCAGCTGACTCATATGTGACGTGTCCTAGCGTCTGGCGGCGCTACTGTGCTATGTTAGCCTCACTTTAGACATCGCGAAGTCCTCCGTCCGTGTTTTCTTAGAGCTAGCGAGTATCTTGTACACCTTTCTCGTTTGCCCTCTTTGCCTTATCTCTAGAAATACCGAAGGCGTCTCTCGCACCTTGCACAAGACTCTCCGATGACCACTCTATAAGCTCGGCTAGGACGTCACAAACAACGGAACACACTTTCTTCTGATATTTCCGTCTTCGAAACCGCACTCAGTCCTGTGACACCCTCTCTTGGTATCTTCGTGGCACCGCACAGTCCATATACTCGCGTTCTGCGGCTTGTTCTGGTTGCTTGCGTGCAGACTCCCCGAGCTCCCAGCTCATGCAACCACAGTCTCTTTCATAGCGATTCTAGCTAAGACAGAAAGATATAAACACAAGGACCAGAGGAAGACATGGAAGTGTGCGAAACCGCTTGTACTGTGCTTCTCGACTATGCAGCGGATGCAGCACACCATACGATTCGTCCGCTCCTGCAATACTCGTCCGAGACTGGCGTTCTGGAAGCAACACGAGAATCTCGGCGACATGTTCCGGATACTCTGCTGCAAGACACTTTTAGGGGATTCAAAACGATGGGTGAACAGATGGATGGCCAAGGGATCGCTGCGCTCAATCATACTTTGAGTGTATCTCCATGCTGTCGTGATGTCGATAACCGTCAGCGTAGAGTATCCAATGCTAGCTTCTGTGACATGGCACAAGGCACGGGTCGTGCAGCGTTCCCAACGTAACGTAGTACGGCGGGGTACGGTACGTTGATACGACGTACGTAAGCCGTACGTAGGACACCCCTCATTGATCCGTATCGTATCCGTAGGGGGTGAAGTTTTGGGAGCCGTAGTACGGCGTACGGCCCGGAGTTATCGGGTTTTGGCTGGGGATCGCTGTGAAGCCGAAAAAACAGCGTAGGAGTCCTATACAGCTGA